CAATCCTAGCTACTCTGGAGGACTGTGGTTCAAATTCACTAGCTGGGAAAGGAAACTCTGTAAGACTCCATTTCCAATTAATCAGAGGCCTGGCTCAAGTGGAACAGTGCAAGGGGTGAGTAAGAAAGCTGAGCTATAGTCAAGGCCCTGAATTCAAGCATTCATACTAGGACCAAAAACAAATAAAGTCTGAAGGCACTCTGCTGGATGGATTAGGTGAACTTGTTTGGAGGAGCGAATGTCTGCTTAAGAGAGATGCCGATTACTTACTACTGTAAATAAAGGTCATAGTCCTAACAGATTAACTCTGTCATCAATTATGGTATTTGAAAGTCCTTAGAGACACTATTCACAAAGATTCCCAGGAATTAGGTGGAAACTGCTGGGAAGATGTAAGGGAGATGCGTGCTGCAGAAGATGGTGATGGTGGTCCATGGTTTTTGCTGTTCGGTGGGAATCAATCCTACACGTTCAATTCATTCAATCTATTCTCTTGGTTAAAGATGCCAGAAAGTCTCAATTTACTTCCCTGCACAATGTGTTGATTCATCTTAGATGAATTAAAATGTGAATGTGTAATAAGAACTGTATTTAAAGGGATCCAAGGAAAAGTAAAACATTGCCACCAATAAAAAATGTAAACATGGGCCTAAGTTCATGACATATCTTACCTGATGGAAGAAAAAACATTTTTTTTGTTCCAGAATAATCTTTCCTATAGTAGATACAACAAATCCATGTTCATAGAAGAAATAAAATTGGATACCTAAAACTCCGTTTTGGAACAACTCTCAGCTGCCGTTAAAGAACTAAAAGCTAATACTGGAAATCAGGGCCAGTCACTCATGCAGATATTTAAATTTATATGTGTGTGTTTGTGGGGAGAGACAGTAGTTCATTTTCGGATACCTCCTCAAAAATAAGCTGTAGAATTAAAAAAAAAGTTCAAATTGGGAAGCATTTGGAGGATATTTTTCCTGATGTTAATTTGAAATGTTATTGTAGAGATTTTGACCTTTAAATAACCCTTTAGAGACATGATGGAGCTTATAGTTTTCATTATAGATGGCGACGATTGTTAGGAAAATAGAGGTCATTAGTGCTTATTTCTTTTCCAGTCTTCATTTGTTGGCATATATTTGTATGTTTTAGATTTTTATCTCTTGACTCTTGTGTATCTAAGCTAAGAACTGATGTTGGTGGTCAACAGTTTGTAGTATTCGTCATGGGCTTGTTCATCATCTGACTCATGAGCTAGTTTCATGACTAACAAAATAGTGATTGGAGAAATCTGTGTATTGTTCAGTGCATTGAATACACAGCTTTAGATTTTCAGGATTTTACCTTGCAAATGTTTTGCCTCACACATCTGACCAAGAGTATCACAGTGTATTTTGGCAGATAGAATAAGATGGTATTTTCCATAAAGCCTTTAGGAAAAGACTAAGTGATAAGCTTAAAAAATATCCAATTGTTACGCTGTTTGTAAAATACAAAAGGAAACAAACAAATAAGGTACAAACTCCTAACTGCTGTGAAGTCAATGATTCATTTCCTCAGTTGTTACTGAAAAAGGCCCAGTCTCCAAAAACAGGGATGACTATCTAATGAAGTAAATTTTCAAAGATAGGAAAAAAGTTAATCTTCAGTGTTGGAGAGAATTGCAAAATACCAAATTAATTTTTATTAGAGGAAATTTTCCCTTCCAGAATATTTTCTTTCCTAAACATGTCTGCACTTCAGATAAAATTCAAGCTCTACCATTTACATAGATGTGACCCTAAATTACAAGTTGAATTCCAGCTGTATCTGTCATATAGATAATCAAATTATACCATTGATATTAATTAGGTTATTGCCTAAAAGTTAAAAGGTTAGTAATTCAGATCAAGATGCATATACACAAAGTAAATATAATTGAGAAAGAAGCCAAATACATGAAGTGAGTGGATGGGATATATTCAGAAGGCCTCAGAAAGGAACTATTACACAGTATCTCTCTCTGTACTGCTCTGATTTTGAAGAAGACAGGTAATACAGTAAAGGGGGAGAGGAAGAACCACACAAAACCATATTGCTGCCATCGACTGGGATATAGCCAAATGGAGCTATTGGAGAACACAGTAGTTCTTCCTGTCTAGGCACAGGATGCTGAGGGGAAGCTCTGTCCCTAGAGACGCTGCAGAGAATCTGCCCAGTGCAGGCTCCCCTGATAAAGAAGCATGAGTTGCCTAAATATACTCAGATTTCTTCCTGAGCTTTTGCTCAAGGCTAGCACTCCACCAATTGAGTCACAGCTCCACTTCTGGCTTTTCCATGGTTAATAAAACATAAGAGTCTCATGAACTTTACTGCCCCGGCTCGCTTTGAAGCACAATTCTCAGATCTCAGCTTCATGAGGAGCTAGGATCACAGACATGAGCCCACTGGTGCTTGGCTATTTATCCATCTTTTAAAGCAGCAAGTTCTCTCAATCTTGGTTTTTCTTAAATCTTTCTGTAAAATATTTGTTATTCTTTAAACTATTAAACTGCTGATTAGCTTTCAGTCAAATTTCTGGATGTTTTTCCATATTTATCTATGATATACTATCCAGAGGGAAGAGTCCTTGGTCGGGGCACTTGGTTGGGGTGCTCAATGTTGGCTCATCTGGTACCAGGTATATGTATGTCCACCTTTTCAAGGATTAAGACATGACAGATGACTGTTAATCAGATAGCTTTTCCAGCTTCAATCCCTTCCATTCAAATTACAGACTTTGTGGATGGGGAAGGGGGAAGTAAGGGCATGTGAGAACTGCCTCAGTGAAACTCTTTTGAAAAATTATATATACTTAAACACAATGAGTGAAAGTAATATAAAATAGATCTTGTTTGAAGAGTGAGTGGTGGTGGGGAGGTAAGGCCAATAGAATGAGTATGGTTAAAATACTTTCAGTACATGTGTGAAAGTTAAGTAATTGAACATGTTGAGATTGGCTTGGGAAGAGAGGGGATAAAGGAGAAATGAGCATACTAAAGGTGCATTGTATATTTATATGGACTTAACCAGCATGAAAACTCCTTGTACAATGAATTGATGCTAATAAAATCGTAGGATAAACATCTTACCATTCAGTCCTTTGCAGAGTAGTTATAAGCCTTTCTCCATTTTTTTTTTTTACCCCAGCTCTACTGAATTGCCAAGGTCTGCAGTATTAAGCAAAGAGAAAATAAGGAAATAATTTGTCTATTCAGAAACTAGCATCCATGCGATAGATAAACAACCTCACACCTAATTGTATATAAAGGTTATGTCTGTGAGCAGGATGTTATAGTGGGTGAAGATGGAAATCCACAATTCTTATGTTTTGCATCTTTTGGGCTTACTGAAGAGAAGATATGAGATTAAGCTTAAGTATTCATGATAAAAAAAAACTACTGAGACTTGGTCCGAATTCCAGCCAATAGCTGATAAATTGATAGCACAAGTCAAATCAGTTAATCTCTTTGAACTTTACTTTTGCATCTTCAATAAATGAATATGATTTGTATTAAGTGAGGCTTACAATGAGAAACTATTCAAGAATCGGCAGGTTTGATTCACTTGGGAGCATCTTGATTCTTCAGCTCAATCCTTGGGTTCTTGTAGGAGGCTGTGAAATCAACCAGAGATGCATCCAAGGATGCTGGGAGGAGGCAGGTAGTAAGCAGGGCAGTAGTTTAGGGTTGATGTAAACAATCAACTGCATCTGGGACCCAATAACCCCAATCCTCCAATTTTCAGAAATGTTTTAGAACTCCCCAAGCCAAGCTGTCTTCAAGGAATGGAGACCTTCATAGGCTCTCAGTTCAGCCCCTGCCTCTTTCATTGGCCCAGTGACTGCCTGTGGCCAGCTATATAGACCCATTATTCCCAAGTAGCAGCCAACTGCCTGAATGAAGACACTCAGGGGTTCAGATTACATCTTCTTAGGACTCCTGACATTCATGCTTTCTTCTTGCTCTTGGTTATGTTGGATCTCATCAAAGATCCTTGGACATAAAAGGACTTATTTTTTTCAATCCATTTCTATCTTCTTTTTTAAGAGGCAGAATGAGATTTTTTTTCTAGTGGTTCTTTCATCCATAACATTTGGAACTCAATTTAATTTTCTACTTGATTAGCTTTCCTTATATACTATCTTTCCTTTTAGTTTTTTTTCTTTTTTTCCCTTTAAACCTTAACATATGTCTCCCAAGATGTCTTGTATATCACAGGAAAGACAGTATCCCTAGAACAACTATTACTCATGCCTCAAATACAGAGAGAGAGGTATTACGTCTTTTTAAAAAGGGAGGTCTCATTTATATAATTCTTATTTTTTAAATCTTACAGTCTGCTATGGAGCTTCATCCAAACTTCATTTTGGAAACAAATTATATTATTTTCTGTATCTCTGGTTTCCAGTCTGTTGAAACTTTTTGATTATTTTGTTTGTTTTGCAAAGAGCAGATCAAGAACCAGTAACCTTCCACACAAAACCTGTGAGCATCTGATCATATAAAATAATATTTATCAAAGTGAACACCAGGAAATGGAAGCAAGAGGTGTTTTCCTTTGTTGCCATTTTGTTTTCTTTTCAATTGGCTTTGTTTTTTCATTTTTCTGTCTCTGGAAGGGCAAGGGGGGAGACACAGAAATGGAGGGACAAAGGGTGAACAAATGCTGCAGTGGTATTCACTAGACACTATGTTGAAAATGAACTATAGAACTTGTGGGTGGGGGTGAGAGGGAAAACTGCGAGAGAGTAGGGAAGGAGTAACATTGTTTGAAAAGAAATGTACTGTCTATCTGACTTGTATAACTGTACCATCACCTTTACAATAATAATAATGTATAAAAATTAGTAGCTTTCCAATATTTTATCTAATATTTCTTTATTCATATTTATTGGAGACTTTGAATACCATTTGTTAAATTTCTATGAACATCTTGAAGACCAATTCAGTAATTCTTTATAATATTATTTTCTCTTGCAGATGAATTTTATTCTCTTTCTGAATACAGTTAGAGTTCTAGCTACCAAAATTTGGGAGACCAATGCAGTTGGACATGACATGAGAAAGCAATACAGGTAATTCAAGAGCAGCCATCCCATGAAAGGAGATGTCTTAGTCATTATTCAGAGAACAAGTATCAGTTCATCACAAAATATCTTTAAGAGATTCAATTTATGAATGTATATCTTTCATTGGTTCAATTACATGAATTATTAGAAAAAGTAGGGGCTGGGAAGGTGGCTCAGTGGTAAAGCGCTTGCCTTGCATGCATGAGGCCCTGGGTTCGATTCCTCAGCACCACATAAGCAAAAGGAAGAAAAAAAGCCGGAAGTGGTGCTGTGGCTCAAGTAGTAGAGCGCTAGCCTTGAGCTGAAGAGCTGAGGAACAGCGCCCAGGCCCAGAGTTCAGGTCCCACGACCAGGATCCCCCCCCCCAAAAAAAGAAAAAGTATAAAATCAACATGTAAATAGCTTTAAACTTTCCTAATGTGCTTAAATTCTAACTACACTGTATCCCTTCTTATCAGGTTGGTATTTTTCAATAAATTATATGAACTCCCAGAAAATCGCTTGGTGATGAACTTAGACAATTTTATATATACTCATTATGTTATACTGAAAACAAGAAAGTGGATTCGTTGTATTGTGCTAAGAGCTTACAGCAGGTGGACTGCTGTACTGCTATAGCTTTTCTCGTGTTACGTTCCATCAGTGAAGTGTAAGACCAAAGGATGACAGAACACAAAAAGATATAGTCTCTCATTCTTCTTCATAAAGTAAGACTACTTTTTTCTCTAGCTGTGAATGTTAGCTGATTTATTTCTATATATCTAAATGACACAAATGTTCTATTCTTTGCAAAACGTTATCCACAAGATTTGAGAAACTTAGCAGAAAACAACTACTGACATCTCAAAACAGAAAATAGGTACTATTTAGAGTTCACTTGTGGGAGGATTGTATTTCATAAAAATTGAAGAGAGTAAGTTATCAAGAATTTTAATGAGCCATTGCTCCGAAGTCAGAACAACTTAAAAATTAAAAAAAATATTGTAAAGGTGATGTACAGAGGGGTTAAAGGTACACATCAGATAATGAGTACATGTCCTTTTGAACATTGACACCCCCTCTGTCATTCTCTCTTATTTCCCCCTCCCAACGCCCCTCCCTCTCAAGTTGTATAGTTCATTTCCAACATAGTGTCTAGTGAGTGTCACTGCTGACTTGGTTCACCTTTTGTCCCACCATTTCTGTGCTTCCCTTGACCCTCCTCAAAAGAGATAAACTTATATATAAGACAAATGATTCAGAAATACAAAAAAAGTGGCAAAAGGGGATGAACCACAGAAAAAAGGAAGGAAACTAAAAGAAATGCAAACAGTATAATAGACCTCTTGAAGAACAACTTTTTAATAATATAGTAGCTACAAGTTCTTGAAGTTTTAAGTTGTTGATTCAAATAAGCCATGAAAATATTTTTTTTCTAAATTAAGCATATCTTTTATTTATAGCTGAAACACATTTTGTATTATTAATGCTATCCATAAAACATAGTGGAGAATGGTTTTCTTACTTGGGATAACACTGGGGAAAGTATTTGTCAACCACTTAGAAATTCAATTAAGTATTCGGTTTCCTTGCTCTTCGGTCAATTTCTGAGAACTTCTGATCAAACCTTCTTTTTTAAGTAGATATAAGAAAATATAATTTATCTTGGTGCTACTCCTACCATGAAGGTTGAGAATTTAAATTTATATTTACTTATTTTTGTGCCTTTAAACTTTTATTTCATTATTACCTTTGTGTAACATGTTTAAATATTCTTGCTAGACTATTTAGATAGTGGCATCTAAAGCAGTAATTAGGTGGGTGCAGGTGGCTCACATCTGTAATCCTAACTACTCAGGAGGTTAACTAACATAGATCTGAGGATTACAGCTCCAAGTGAGCCCAGGCAGGAAAGGCCCTGAGATGCTTAACCAGTTAACCACTAGAAAACTGGATGTGGCCCATGGCTCAATGTAGTAGAGTGTTAACTCTGAACAAAAAAAGAGCTCAGGGACAGCACCTAGGCCCTGAGTTCAAGCCCCATAATCGAAGAGAGCAACAACAGCAGTAATTAAGCATATTTTCATGAGTAATACTCTGAAAAACTGAAAATATTTTTTTGAGCTCTGATTGTCTTTTTATGTGAGTATATACTTACAAATAGAAAAAGACTTTTGAAAAGTTCTCAAAATCTCTCAGTTGATATATTGGATTAAAACATAATTGAATGACATCAATCACTCCAAACATAGTTTCATATAGAGATAATTGTAGATTCCATGCAGTTTGTAAAAATAGTATAGAGAAAACCCACATATCTTTCAGCTAGTTTTCCCTAAAGGTAATATACTAAATATTGGGTAGTCAGCTATTTTCAAACCACATTGATATTAAGATAATCTATCAGACTTAACAAAAAAGATGATACATTTTCTCCCTTTTAAACTATAATTCAGTTTGTTTACAAAGTAAAAAAAGAGTTCAGGATTAGAAATATGTAAGGGCTATAAGAATAAAAAATTCAATGCAAAAGAACATTTTAGGTAACTTGGCTTTCTATTATTGTTAAACAAAATATTTAATGTTTGTTATTTTGGAATAAATCCCACTTGTACTTACTATATAGTACATAGTAAAGAGGACAGCTCTTAAGATGGCATCACCACTAACTATAATTTTAAGTGAACACTTTCTTTTTCTGTCCCTCTGTTATCACTTGGAAATGTGATAATAATGGCTATCTCATATGGTTTTCAAAGTAAAATTATACAGCCAGTACAGGATCATGATGCTGACTGGTCATTTGTTTCATTTGCTGAGACCAAGGCCCCAAATTGACTTCTTTGTATTCTTCTCATGGGATTGACTTTGGACACACACAATCCATTCCCATATTTCCAGCAAGCCAGAACACTGTTCGTTATAATATTCCTGGATCATCTCAAGAGATGCCTGGGATTTCTTCCAGTATCCAGCTGTAAAGATGGACCAGATGGACCGTGAGGAACATCAGTGCTGAGGATTCATGTGTTCCCACAGTTACACAAATGGACAATGACTTGCTTGTCATACTTGGCATTTGTCCCTACTTTAATCCATTCACTGTCATTGCTAGATCACTTCTAAATGAACTTGTGCAGCACACTTGAAATATTTTACTTAACTACAATCAATGAAGGAGGGAGCAAAAATTAAAGCTAGTTAAAAACAAACTTAACCTACAGTCAGATAATAAATGTGAAATGAATTTATAAGTGGATAAAAGCTAGCAAAACTCACCAATGTATACTGGACTGCCATTAGTGGCATTCATTTTTTTTTTTTTTTTTTGGTCGTGGGGCTTGAACTCTGGACCTGGATGCTGTCCCTGCACTCTTCAGTTCAAGGAGAGCACTCTACCGCTTGAGCCAGAGCACCACTTCTGGTTTTCTAGTGGTTTATTGGAGATAAGAGTCTCACGGATGTTCCTGCCCGGGCTGGCTTTGAACCGCAATCCTCAGATCTCAGCCTCCTGAGTAGCTAGGATTATAGGCATAAGCCACTGGCACCCGGCTTGCCATTAGTGGCATTCTATAGGATACAATTTGTATTTCTGTGGACAGTAATGACATACTGTGATCCACTGATTTCTAAGATGTCTCTCAAGATTACTAGCCCATGATTTGCTTGCATAATCTTTCCCCCTAATTTCTCACTTTGAGTATGGGCAAGATCCACGATGAGGTAGTTGATTTCTCTTGGACTAGTTTACAGTATATTGGAAAAGGCATGGTCTAGTTCCTCCTATAGCATGTTGCAATGTTATGTAGACACTCTCTTGACCCTGAGAATTCTCCTGCTGGCTTTAATTAAGTCATCTTTTGTATGGTGGAGGGCTGATGGACAGTTTGTAGGAACTATGGCAGAGTTGATGGTCAGCAGAAAGCCTTACAACTGCAAGGGATGGAGATGTTCTAGGAATTCATATGAGTTTACAAGAGAAACCTGAGGTTTGGATGAAAACTCAACCCTACACCTTTATTTCAAGCAGGTAAGGCCCTGCCAGAAAGACCCAATTATGCTGTGCTTGGATTTCTGGCATTTTTTGAAATTTTAGAGCAAATATATAGCATTATTTCAAGCCAGAAAATTTTATAGTCATTTGTTATACAATAGTAGAAAAAGGAATACAGTTATGATGTTTTCTACATATTAACTTTTTTTGGGGAGGGGGTCCGGTCATGGGGCCTGAACTCTGGGCCTGGGCGCTCTCCCTCAGCTCTTCAGCTCAAGGCTGGCACTCTGCCACTTGAGCCACAGCGCCACTTCCAGCTTTTTTCTTTTTGCTTATGTGGGGCTGAGGAATCGAGCCCAGGGTCTCATGCATGCAAGGCAAGCACTCTACCACTGAGCCACCTTCCCAGCCCCTCTACATATTAAGTTTTATCTGTACCAAACTCTGAGGATTTAGTCATAGAGATAAACCTCAGAATTAATGAATTAATTAATGCAGATTTAATTAATGGGTTATCTAATGAATTTCATTGAAGAATGCAATTTTTCCTTAGTCTGCATTGAACCAAATTGTGTCTAAACTCTTGCATTTGTGAACATTTCACAGTTTACTGTTTTTCTTTCTTTCTTTTGTTTTAATTTTTGTCTCCAGGCATACTCAGTAGAAGTCAAAATTAGCTCAATTTGTATAACAATCACCAGGGGGATTTACCCTTTAAGACAGAGCATATAATTGTCCTTGTAGAGTGACGTTAGACAAGACTTCTAAGACTGAAAGTCCAGTAATGTCATCCTCCTGTATCTGATTAAACTGAATTCAAACACCATGAAGGTCTACAAAGTGTCCCACCAGTCTTCAATTCATGGGAAGCGAGGATGCTCAGTTGAGATTTAAGGGGAAGACAAGCACAACTAAGCATTAGTCAGATCAGAGAAACCCATTACTTGCCAGGTATGCTGTCTCAAATGAAGGGCTCAGTGTGGAACTCTAAAATTAAATGGACTATAAGTAGGCAAAATATGTGGTATAAAGCTAGTAGCAGAGGTTAAAGCCCACCGGCTACAGAGAACGCTCTGACAGTCAGGTAAATGGAGCTGAGCTACAAGGCAAGGATGGTCCTGTGACAAATGAGAGTTAAGATTGGCAACACAGAAGGAAGTATAGAAAATGTGCAACTCCGGACATTGAAATTAGCCCTTCCAATATGGTTTTGTGGGATTCTCTAGCTTCTGTATGTGTTGGAAAGAAGGAAAAGATGTCAAGTCTATGTATGAGAATATGGTTCCTAGTGAAACCCTAAAACAGTATAGCTTGTGTTCATATGGACTCCTGAACTTTGTTTTCTTATTTCGGAGATCAGAAAACTGAATTGCTATCACAGAGGTCATGAAATTGAGAATCTGAATCCAGGTTTTCTTAGTCTTAGTGTGACCCAGGTAGCTTATTTACAAGAAGAAAAATCAATAAAGAAAGGAGTTAGGGGAAAGACTGATGAGAATGGAAGAATGTTGAATTGTTTGAGGTTACTAGGGTGAAAATGACTCAGAGAGGAAAAATCAAATTTGAGAAATAAGACAGAAGCCACACATGGAAATTTCTTGGATAAAAAGTGTAAGAAAAACAGTATTAACCAGCAATCAGCAAGGTATGTACTTGGGTGTGCTGGTTACTTACTGTTGTAAGATGAAGCACCATGGAGTTAGTGGCTTAAAAACAACATGCTAGCTATTTCAGTTACAGTAGGTCAAGAATTTGGGTGTGGGTCCTCAGCTTCAGGTATAACAAGACTACAATTGAGAAGCCAGTTGGGGCTATGGTCTCATGTGATGGCTGGATGGTGGGAGAATGTACCTCTGAGACCACGTGACTGTTAGCAGATTCAGGTACTTGTTGGCTAATGATCAGATGACACTTGATTCTTACCACATGGACCACTCAAAAGACCAGTTCATACAACATGGCAGCCAGCTTGCTTCACCAAAAAAGTTAGAATCTTACACACCACAAACCACAGAAGCAACATGTTGCCATCTTTGCCACCATCTTTGGTTAGAAGCCAGTCCTCCTTCCTGCCTACCCTTAGGAAGAAAACAACAAGGGCACAGATAGCCAAAGGTGAGGATCTTGGGGGACATTTAGAATAAGCAATAAACGTGTCTGAATTAGTCAGAGCTCTCCAGAGAGCCAGAACCAATAAGCCACATTAATACAGATGCATATTCATGTACAAGTGGATAGAAAGATAGATAGATAGATAGATAGATAGATAGATAGATAGATAGATAGATGGATAGATAGATAGATAGATAGAGGTAGATAGATACAGGTAATATGATGAGAGGTTTCCTAGGGAAATTAGCTCATGTGATCTGGAGCTGAGAAGTCATGTATATAGTAAGTGTCCTGCAAGCCCAACACCAGAACATGGTGCCGTTTGAGTCCAAAATTCTTAGAAACATGGAGACAAGTGGTGCATCACCCAGTCCAGTGCAAAGGCCCCAAATTAAAGGACTATTGGTGCAAGTCTCAGAGTCCAGTGGATGGAGAAGATGGAACCAGATGCTCAAAGGGCAGAAGAGTGTTCTAGCTGTGGAAGGTATATGAAAATGTATATGAAAGGCTAACAGAGAGAAATAATGTCAATCAAAGCACCTAGGTTGAAAACAATAAACCTGAGGCTTCCTTGAGCTCTAGATTACTTGAGAGAGAATATATACCATTTGATCAAAAGGCAGGAGGAAATGATCATATGCAACTCATAAGAAAAATATATAGTGTATTATCTTGCCCATGTAATTGTAACCCCTCTGTATAGTATTTTCACAATAAAAAAAGAAAAATATATAGTGTCTCCAGGAGTAATTGACTTCTCAGGAGAACTGAACAAGCCAAATGCTCCCTGTCACAGTGAAGGCAATTCCCATGGGTGGAGGAAATACTTCTCTAAAACTCAGGAAAATAAACAAAAAAATTAACAATTTTTTTTACAAAGAGTATTCTATAATCAAGAGAAATGTAAATAGCATTAGGGATATTTAATGTAAATAGCATTAGGGATATTATGAGAGGTGAGAATTAACCATCTGATTTCATATAAGAGTGATAAGGAGGTGAGGAAAGAGAAAACACACACACACACACACACACACACACACACACACACACTGACTTCCAGAAGTGGTAGGATCTGAAGACTGAGTTCACAGTCAGCGCTTGTGAACCTCTTGAGCTTGCTGCATCTCCTGAACCATGTTCTAGGTTGGTGAATTGAAAGGAGTTTGGCTTCTCTCTTTCAGGAAGCTTGCGAAATCAACACTGGTCCTGGTCCTGGTGTTTGGAGTGCATTACATCGTATTCATCTGCCAGCCCCACTCCTTCACTGGGCTCTGGTGGGAGATCCGCATGCACTGTGAGCTCTTCTTCAACTCCTTTCAGGTGAGCAGGGGAGCCTTGCCATACGGTTCTCATAGTCTCCTTCATCCTCTTTCTTGGCCCCGCTGTCTGGCTTAGATGCACCTGTGGTTTGCAAGTCTGACATGACAGTATTCTGTGGCACTTTTACTTTTTCTTCCTGGAGGTCAGGCTAAATGTTTTGGACCTCTTCAGGAACAGCTCTGGAGGTGTTTGTCCCGTCAACAAGTCTGGGCTGCAAGATAAGACTGTGATTGTTGTTAAAATATGGAATTTCTGCAGAGCAAAGGACTCTGCTTTTGTGTATAGAAAATAAATGAAAGCAGAACATGAATATAGGGAGGAGGGGGAAAAGGGAAAGGGAGAATAAAAGGAAGAAAAGGTTGCTGTCCTCCATTTTATCTTGTTTGAAACAGGAGCATCATCTTCTCTTCCTGAGTCCCTTTACCTTGTTCCCCTAAAGGATTTTTTTTTTGTCGGTCATGGGGCCTGAACTCTGGGCCTGGGTGCTGTCCCTCAGCTCTTCAGCTCAAGGCTAGTGCTCTACAACTTGAGCCAAACACCACTTCCAGCCTTTTCTGTTTATGTGTGCTGAGGAATTGAACCCAGGACCTCATGCATGCAAGGCAAGCACTTTAAGCATATGATTTGACCATGTTACTTACTTACCAAAAATATCCAAAGGTTTCCTTACACTCAGAACAAAATTCAAATGCCAGTTCCTGGCAGATACAGCCCTGTGTGACATGGAGCCTGCCTGCCATTCGTCTGATCTCATACTACATTTCCTTTTTTTATTTTTTAAAATTTTATTATAAAGATGCTGTACAGAAGGGTTACAGTTACAAGAGTAAGCAATGAGTACATTACTTGTTGATCATTGTTACCCCTTCCCTTCCTTGTTATTGTCCCACTATTGTGTACCTTAGCATGTTCAGCCCCCAGAATGCTCTACCACTCCACATTTGCGTTTCCTTAAGGGGCCCCCCACTTACTGCTCTCTGGAAGTATCTCTCCTCTCTCTCCTCTCCTTCACAAAACTGGCTTTTTGTTCTTGTCACTCAAACCAGCTGAAATGTCACTCCCTTGGAGAGGTCTTTGTTGAGTTCTTCACTGAATATATGCACCCCATCGTTCTCCGTAACAATGTTTATTTTACTGGCATAACCCTTATCACCTCATTTTTCTCATATGGCTCTTTCTTTGTATTTTATCCATGTCGCTTTGCTTCTAGAACTGTTTTGTTTACATCAGTACATGCCTGTCTCATGTTGAGCAGCTCTTAACACACCATTGAGCTTAACAGATATTTTTGAGTGAATGAAAAGACTTCTTTGTGTTCTTGCCATAATACTCTACGCCTGGAGTTTTTTTAGCATTCACCACATATAAACATACTTTTCCAAGCAGGGGATGGGTATTTATGTGATCTTTGAGTGTGGCAATAGAAAAGTAAGTAGTATAATAGAAATCAGTTCTGTGTGTAAGGGAATAAAATACTCCAATTGCATTTGCTAGCTTGGTTCAGCTAACAATATGGAAACAATTCTAATGTAAATGTAAGGATGTGGAAACAGTAGGGGACAATCATTTGTATAATTATCTGAAGGAATCATTAGAACAGAGGTTCAACTTCTGCAGTTTGATATTAGACACTTCGATGCCATGAGCTTCATGAGTTGTCAGTAAGCTAAGTATCTTTTTTTTTTTTTAATTCTACAGGGTTTTTTTGTGTCTATCATCTACTGCTACTGCAATGGAGAGGTATGTCTGAAGGAACTCAAGACATAGGATGGTGCTAACTCCAAATATGTTTGTATTTAGTCCGTTTTGTCTTGCTATCAGAGCACACTTAAGATTTGACCATTAATGAAGAACAAAGGCTCATTTCTTGCAACTCTACAAGCCGATAAACCAAAGGTCAAGGCGCCTTAATCTGACGAGGACATTTTTGCTGCATCATTCCATGGCAGAATGCAAAAGGCAAGAGGGCTTAATGGCAGAGAGAGCAAGAGATCAAGAGATCACACTTATAGACTCAAGTCTGTAAGACTCAATGGGTTTTAGTCAGGCATGATGGCAGAGCCCTCAGACCTAAACCGCTCCAAACACCTTCCTACCTTCCTTGGGAATAAAATTTTTTAGCATAGGACCTGGGAAGGGACACTTTAAAACCACAGTAATTTGTAATTGGTCCTTACAGGGTCACCTTACTCTCTTTAGAATATTTCCAGTTTGTATAAGAAAGAACAGTTAGGAGAAGGGAAATACTTTAACCACAGTTATTTTGAAAGTGTAAGCATTGATGTAAATAAGCTAATGTCTTCCTCTTCCAGCACTTTTGTCAATTCAGTTGGCAATTGCCAAGTTTAAAAACAGCTCACTCTACTAGAGACTGATACTTGCATGGACGCTGGGCTTTGTATTCCACTCAATGGCAGAATTCACATTTTGATAATTCTAAAGGTAAAAACTGGTTAGGAGATAGTTTATTTAAGAGTTGTACAGAGGGAATTAACCCTGTTGGATGACACATTTTATCTGTAAGCTTTAACAAATCCTGCTGTTGAGTGAGTTGCCATCATTTCTGTCTCTCAAAATTTCCATTTGCAGAAATTTTCATAAGTGCAAAGATACTTGTGATTGCTATATGTGTCTAATTACACTGAGGGGATCACATTGTGGAACGGTAAAGCCAGTCTTCCCAGAAAAAAAAAAAAAAGCTTAAATAATAACTCATCAATTCCCTGATTTACTTTGTATTGTTTTTACTGTGTTTTGCAGGAAAGGTAAGTAAGTAGGTCTCTTTATTTATATTTATTTATTTTTTTTAAGTAGTTGCATGAAGGGATTTCAGTTCAACATTCCAGTTTATGAGTATAATTTATCTGAATCAACGTCACTCCTCTTCATTACTCCCTCCCATCTCTCTCTATTCAACTCATCTCCTTGACTTACCCGGTTTCATTTTCACATACGAATATTGACTGCTGTGATTGCATTCACCAACCTCTTTTTGCTCCATTGGTGTATCTCCCTCCCCTTAACTGCATCTCTCTGCCAACAGCACATTTTCTAGCTTCCTATAAAGTCTAGTGATTATTGTTGGCCCAGGTGGACAGATAGGAGTTTGTTTTCAGGTGCTATTAGCATACCAGGTTTTGAGTGCTTCCCTTGTACTGTTACTTGGAAGTAACAGTAGGATCAAATCCTCAGTGGTAGCAATGGAATCAAAAGCCTCATTCCATTAAGAGTGTAGTTCATGGGCTAAATTTGTGGCTCAAGTACTAGATCACTTGCTTAGCATGCTTGAGGACACAGATTCAATTCCCAGTACTGCTAATTAAACAGACAAACAAAAACCCAGGGAAGTTTGGACCTTGTTTCTCCCAAGCAGACTCAGAGAGAGAAAAAACTTTCTCTTGTCACTGCAACTCAATGAAATGGCTCTCAGGCCTTTATAAGAAAAGCTTCTGTGCTGCCAGAACTACATATTTATAATTCTGAGTCCACCATAGTAAATATTTTAGGAAAGCAGGTTGGGGAACTCTTATCCAAAGTGATGGCTTAAACAAGCAGCCAGACTTTCAAGAGGTTGGGGGCCCATATGAGGGCACAACTTTCTACTGCTGTTTAAAGCTCTGGGAAAGTTTGTTCAGGTATCTGTATTACGCAAAGTTCTGTGGTCCTCTTTCCATTATTTACCTCTTCTCTTCCAACCAAAATTGGTTTCCCCCTGTCCCAAGGCTGATATTTGTATTTACTTCTATGTAAATACCATGTAAAGTACAAGGGACATGTCCCTTTACTTTCCAAGCCACTTTCTATCTCCAGAATGGTCGCTTATTCCAAAAGTGAGGCTGAGAAGAAAACGATCTCTACATGTCTAAAGTCTCTGCCCCACAGAGGGACTTCAGTTAGTATCAGTAAAATCAAGGCAAACATCCTTGTAACAAACGTCCTGGACCTCCCTTATTGTTTCTGATGTAGAACACATTTCTTGTGGTTTAGGTTCAAGGTGAGGTGAAGAAGATGTGGAGTAGGTGGAACCTATCCATCAACTGGAAAAGGACGCCATCCTGCGGCGGCCAGAGGTATGGCTCAGTACTCACTACCGTGACTCACAGCAGCATTAGCCAGTCTCACATGGGAGCTAGCACTCGCATGGTGCTCATCTCTGGCAAGCAGGCCAAGACTGCCAGCAGACTGCCTGAGAGCCATATGACTTTACCTGGCTATGTCTGGAGTGGTTCGGATCAGGACTGCTCACCACTCTCCATCCAGGAGATGAAGGAGGGTGAGGGGAGGCAGGGAGGTGATATTCCAGTGGAAGCGTCTTCCAGGCCTTTGGAATTTATCCTGGACTCTGAAAGTTGCAAACGAGAAGCAGAGGATGCCATCTGAGTCAACACTTCTGACATCAATTGTCTGGTGATTCTGCTTGTACAGGGAAGGGTTGGCTGGCATTCCTCACCTTGAGCCTGAAAAAAAATCGAGTGAAAAGGTTATTCAACTGTTTCCAGTTTCCATGAATTGTCTTCTGCGACTACTCTAAGACACAAAAGGGAAAGTATCAGAGGAAAAATATACTGCTTTATTTTGACATCACACTCTTTTCTGAATTGATGGTGGTTCATTTTGCTTTGTGGTGGTGTTTTTTTAATTGTTATTTTTGGGTAGATAAAAGTTGCTTGGCTCTAAATAGCAGCCTAAATATGACACAGATGATTTTGTGCTATTTTTCTTGTATGAAATAAGTGTTCCTTTTCTCCTTCTGTACTTTAGTGTACTTTAATCTTAAACTTTAGTGTACTTCTGTCATTGTACCCATTGCATCTGAGCACAGGAGCAATGAAGGTCTGAAAAATGTATGTGGAAACATTAAAGCACAAAGAGCAAGTATACATTGGAAAAGTAGTTGACTGGGCATTAATACAATGATAAATATATGATATGTATGTTTGTCTCTTTCTGGGAACAGAGGAAGTTGCTTATAAAAGAGTGCTTCTTATAGACCTCTTTCTGAATTTTCCCTTTGTGATGGTTAAACCTCAGCCCTTTGTGATGTGTGAGATGTCAAAGGTTCTCAATTGGCCAGCTTATATCTACAAATGGATTGTTTGTGTTCATTTATACTGAAACAAAATTACACTCTATATAATATTTTTCTCTGCAGATGACATGTGGGATAAATTAAAAGTTTGCTTTTAAAATGCATTTTTTGAATTATTTCTAAAAATTTCCTTTTAGAGGCTCACATTCTTATTTTTTCTTTTTATTGAAAAGGTGATGAGCGGGGGTTACAGTGACATAAGTAAGGCAATAAGTACATTTGTTTTTAATCATTGCTACCTCATCCCTCTTTATCTCCCACTTATCCCTCTTTATTCCCCTCCCCTCCAGATTGTAATGCTCATATCCAATATAGTGTCAAGTGAGTATCAATGTTACTATGGTTCATCTGTTGTCCTGCTGTTTCTGCGATTCCCTTTCCCATCCACATATTGCACTGTCTATTGTGCAAAACATGAGGTCCAAAAACCTAACACAAACGAAGAAAAAAAAAAGAGAGAGAAAAAGAACAAATTATACACCGGGTCTAATGAGAAACTCTTATTTCCATAAGTTGGAGTTCATGTTAATATACTTCATTATATATAGCCCTTTGCACTAAGCATTTGGGTTATTGAGATCCCCTGTTAAGAATATCATATACATATTCTAGTTCTTACAAATGAGGGAGATAGGGTGACCTACTTTTCTCTGGGTCTGGCTTACTTAATATAAATTTTTCCAAGTCTTTCCATTTCCTTATGAATGGAACAATATTACTCTTCCTGATGAAAGCATGGAATTCCATTGTGTATAGGTACCACATTTTCTTTTCTTTTCTTTTTTAATTTAATTTAATTTTATTTGTGAACATACTGTACAGAGGGGTTACAATTACATGGGCAGGATAATGCGTACATTTCTTACCAAGCATTGCAGCCTCCTCCTTTGGTTTACCCTTCACATCCCTTCCCAGCCTCCCCCCTCCCCCCCAATCCCAATCCTTCTGCTTCCCCCCCTTCTCCCCCCACCCCCCCCCCCCCCCCCCGCCCCGCACCGACGTTGTAAAGCTCATTTTGGACATGACAACTTGTACTTCTCACTGTTGCAACAGGTCCACCTGTATCCTTAAACAACTGGTTTTTCCCCATCTCCTCCACAAGTTATACTGACATCAAATATAGTGAAAGCGGGGGTTACACTGTGGGGGAGGGACATACAAAGCAACAAAGAGATAATCTTATAAATGCATTAGAAACACATGCATGAAAGAAAAAAACATTAAAATACATATCTAAGGGTTCATTTTCCTGACATCACATTATCTGACCTTTTCCGCTTGACTCATACATATACTAGATATTGCAAATAAGGGAAACCATGGGACCTATTTTCTTTGGGCCTGGCTTACTTCACTTAATATAATTTTTTCCAAGTTTTTCCATTTCCTAACAAATGGGGCAATGTCATTCTTTCTGATGCAGGCATAGAATTCCATTGTGTATATATATACCACATTTTCTTGATCCATTCATCTACTGAGGGGCATCTGGGTTGGTTCCATATCTTAGCTATGGTAAATAATGCTGCAATAAACATTGTTGTGCTGGTAGCTTTAGTGTGGTCTTGTTTGTAAACATTTGGGTAAATGCCCAAAAGTGGGATTGCTGGGTCATAAGGGAGTTCTATGTGAAGTCTTTTGAGGAACCTCCATACTGTTTTCCAAAGTGGTTGAACAAGTTTACATTCCCACCAACAATGAAGTAAGGTTCCTTTCTGTCCACATCCCCTCCTGCATCTGTTGTTGTTAGAGTTCTTGATTTTTGCCGTTCTAACTGGGGTGAGGTGATATCTCAATGTTGTTTTGATTTGCATTTCTTTTATGGCTAGGGATGTTGAACATTTCTTCATGTGTCTATTGGCCATCCTTCTTCCTTCTTCAGAGAAGTTTCTTTTTAAGTCTTTCACCCACGTATTTATTGGGCAGTTGTTTCTTTGAGGATTTGTTGTTGGGGGGTTTAATTTTTTGAGTTCCAAGTATATTTTAGATATGAGACCCTTGTCTGTTGTATGGCTAGTAAAGATCTTCTCCCAATCCGTGGGCTTTCTATTGATCTTGCTAGCTATGTCATTTGCCCTGCAGAAGCTCTGCAACTTTATGCAATCCCATTTGTCCAACCTTTCTTTGATTTGTTGTGTTTCCGGGTCTCTATTCAAAAAATTTCGGCCTGAGCCAAGGAGACCTAGGGTTTCTCCTATTCCATCCTGTAATGTTTTCAGAGTGTCTGGTTTGAGTTCAAGGTCTTTGATCCATTTGGAGTTGATTCTGGTGCAGGGTGATATATAAGGATCTAGCTTTAGTTTTCTACATGTAGTTAACCAATTTTGCCAGTACCATTTACTGAAGAGGCTGTCTTTCTTCCATTCTATTGTTTTAGCTCCCTTATCAAAGATTAGATGGCTATAGGTCTGTAGGTTCATTTCTGGGTTTTCAATTCTATTCCATTGGTCCGGAGGTCTGTTCTTATGCCAATACCAAGCTGTTTTGATTACTATGGCTTTATAGTAGAGTTTGAAATTTGGTATTGATATTCTTTCAGCAGTGTTCTTTCCGTTGAGGAGCGTTTTTGCTATTCGGGGTCTTTTATTGTTCCATATGAATTTTTGGATTGCCTCTTCTATTTCCTCGAAGAATGAGGGTGGAATTTTGATAGGTATTGCGTTGAATTTGTAGATAGCCTTGGGAAGTATTGCCATTTTCACGATGTTAATCTTTCCAATCCAGGAGCATGGGAGGCTTTGCCATTTTTTTAGTTCTGTGTTGATTTCCTTTTTCAAGATTTTAAAGTTTTCATCATAGAGGTCCTTCACTTCTTTGGTTAAGTTAATTCCTAGGTATTTTATTTTTTGTGGGGCTATTACAAATGGAGTTGCTTTCCTAATTTTAGCCACACTTTTCTCATTGTTGGCATACAGAAAAGCCATTGATTTTTGGGGGTTATTTTTATACCCTGCTACTTTGCCAAAGTTTTGAATCAGCTTGAGTATTTTGGGAGTGGAGTCTATGGGATTCTTTAAATACAAGATCATGTCATCTGCAAAGAGGGAGAGTTTTATTTCTTCTTTCCCTATTTGGATCCCCTTTATGTCTGCATCTTGTCTTATTGCTGTAGCTAGGCATTCTAATACTAGATTGAAGAGAAGTGGAGAGAGTGGGCATCCTTGTCTTGTTCCTGAGTTAAGAGGAAATGGCTTTAGTTTTTGACCATTGAGTATAATGCTGGCTGTAGGTTTGTCATATACAGCCTTTATTGTATTGAGGAATGTTCCATGGATTCCTAATTTTTCCAAAACCTTCATCATGAAGGGGTGTTGGATCTTGTCGAATGCTTTTTCTGCGTCTATTGAGATAACCATGTGTTTCTTATTCTTGCTCCTGTTGATGTGATGAATAATATTAATTGATTTGCGTATATTGAACCAGCTTTGCATCCCTGAAATGAATCCTGTTTGATCGTGGTGTATGATTTTTTGGAAGAATTGTTGAAGTCGATTGGCCAAGATTTTGTTGAGAAGTTTTGCATCAATATTCATTAAAGAAATGGGAGGTACCACATTTTCTTGATGACTCACATTATTGTTGAGAACAAATCAAATTTTCCTTCCACAAATCCACAATTAAGTGTATGTATAACTCTTATACTTTCCTGAACTTCAAATTTCAGTGTGTTGCAGTTATGAAAACATTTACTGAGTACAGTGTGAAAAGGGATAGTTAGAATAGATACCCTTTGGCAATATGAGAAATGCCAAGTTCCTACTTCCTAAGCTATCTGAATTCTAAGTCTACTTAGAACTTGCACTATTTCTTTATATTAATAGGTATGAATACAGCCATCAGATTGACTAAGGTTTCCTTCAATGTTACTCACTTATTAATTCAATAAACATGTACTTAGAACTTATGATGTGACAGAACTGGTTCTTTGTGCTGAAGTTCCAGTAAAGAACAAGACACAATCCATTCCCTCAAGGAACAAAGAACCACATATGTGCTATGACTCTTTATGCCATTTAAATACACACATACTTTTTTTTTTAGTTTTCATGATGTTTGAACCCAATAGGAAAACTAGGAAACTATCATTTTCCAAAGCATTGTTTTTCTCAGGTAAAATTCTGGGCAATTATGAAGGATTGACTGATGTAGTTCCAAAATTTCAAGCTGTTAGCCAGTGAGTTAATTTTACTTTATATTTTATTTGCTTATCCATAGGGTTTGAAAAGATGATATTTTAAAATTTCAGTGATATATAAATTCCATGGATTATGAAAATACCATCAAAATCCCAACATCATTCTTCATTGAGACAGAGAAAACAATCCCAAAATTCATATGGAATCACAAAAGGCCTTGAATCACAAAACCAATCCTGAGCAGAAAAAGTAGTGCTGGAAGTAAAACAATACCAAACTTCAAACTCCC